TATATATGTATGTATGAATACGAACTTGCCACACATCCATCCCTCTCCCATCCATTTCTCATTTCTATCGTCCTCTCCTCTCTTTTTCACCTCTCATTTGTATCTGATTTATGCAGCGGCTGGCTGACCTGTGGGAGAAGTCGCCGCTGTATACCGTCCACGAAATCACAGGACTCTACAAATCGTATTTCCGACTGTCCACAGAGCCACTGCTGACCAGCAGACTCATCAATGCCTTCATACACGTCGACAGTATGTTCATGCTGTGGCTCTGTCGTATTTTTTGTGTTTTGGTTCGATTATTATATACATTAGGTGACCTGACTCCGTGGGATGTCTATGCACTGTTTCTACCGTATGTGTATGTTTAAATTCTGTAATGCCATACATTATATGCGTTCGAGTGAATAGCATATCCGCGATCCATCCATATATACGCGTACATTATTTGCAATGCCATACATTATATGCGTTCGAGTGAATAGCATATGCGCGATCCATGCATATAAACGCGTACTGTATTTGTACTATAAATTCTTAGGCGCCTTTCTCCTCACAAGAGGTACCTTCTCTCAATATGTACCTTAAAACAACTGCTGCAGTTCTTTCAGGAACGTCACTTGCGGATACATTTGGGTAGGTCGCTGCAAAGATGTACCCTAAAACCTAAAATTTAAACCCTAAAAATTAACCTTAACATCTAAACCCGAAAATCTAAACTCACACCCCAAACCCTAAAACTAACTAGACAACTAAGTTCGATCCCATATTTATGTGTACTATTTTGTTTGTTGGCTAATATAGTCCCATTAATTTGATTAACTTAGTCGTTTTATTCGTTGCTATCGATCAGATATCCCGGTTTTTAGTTGCTCTTAGGAGTTTAGGGGGTTAGAGTTTTACGGGTTGTTTTACGGGTTTTTAGGGTTCAGCCCTTTAGGGTTTAGGGTTATAGGGGGTTTGTTGACAACTACACCTCTCGTCTCGTAGTCTCTTCGTTGCTATCCAAATTGTCTTGGTTCCCCTACGCAGACATGATGTGGGACGTAGTTTGGCGATCGTGTTAGTCATCGATTTTGGTATCGTTTCTGTCAAAACTTCTCATCACACATCTTTTAGTGGTCCGCTCAAACTACCACAAAATATCCACCATTTTCCTCCGTAAACCCTAAATCTTAAACCCTAAGACCCTAAAACCCCAAAAACCCTAACCCCTCTACACAGTTCTTCGAGAATGTACCTTTCAAAGATATAACTGAAAACCCAAGTGCTCTTAAGCAAACCACTTTATGCAAAAAAAAATACTTTTGTACTAAGGTCATGTCAAAAAAAATTATACACAATAAAGAAAAATCTATTAATAAAGCTCTAAACCCTAAACCTTGAACTTTAAATATCCCCTCTCTGTTCGCAGCCTTTGGTGGTTCGCTCAATCTACAGAAGATGCTTCTGCATAGACTCATCGCCATGCTACCCATCCCCAATCAGCAACTGCTGTATAGCCTCCTAACCTTCTTCAAACGCGTGTCTACCTTTGAGATGGTACGTATTCTGTTCGGCAACTTATGTTCTATAGTTACGTTTGACGTTATAGCATTAGTGGTATATACTATACTAGTGGAAGATGTTGCTCTCGTATTGTGCTGTAGTGTTAGGCTCAATTGTGTTTGGTAGGTTAGATTGCTTGTGTTGGCCAGGCTCCTATACGAAAATCATACCTATCTGATTGTCGTATTTTTTAATATAAAAGTCTGATTGTCGTACTTTTCTAACTATAACAGTCCGATTGTCGTATCTTTCTAATTATAACAGTCTGATTATCGTATTTTGCTAATTACAGCAGTATAATTGTCGTATTTTTCTAATCATAGCAGTTTGATTGTCGTATTTTTCTAGTTGTTTGATTACCGTTGACTATTTATCTGCGCATGGGATGTGTGCCGCAGTCCTATATTGAATGGTCCATCACGTTATTAACGTTATTAAATATTGCTGTCGTATTTTTTCTTTCTTTATATTTGTGTCATATACAGAGGAAAGACGCAGAGGGTAATCTGTCTGACGGAAACATGATGTCAACTAAGAACCTGGCGATAGTAATGGGTATGTTTTTCATTGAGATAGTATGGGGTATATTTTATATTGTGATAGTAATCTGTAGGTTTTTTGTTATGATAGTAGTTGGTATGTTTTATTATTATTGTGGTATTGTATTGGGTATGTTTTTTATTGGTATTATATTGGGTATGTTTTTTATTGGTATTATATGGGGTATGTTTTTTATTGGTAATATATGGGGTATGTTTTTTATTGGTATTATATGGGGTATGTTTTTTATT